CAATTCCTAAACGCCACACAGTCCGCACTCGCTAAACCCCACACAGTGTCCACCCCTAAACCCCACACAGTGCCCATCCCCCAAACCCCACACAGTCCCCAACCCCCATATCCCACACAGCTCCCACCCCCCCAAATCCCACGCAGCCCACATCCCAAACTTCACACAGCCCACACCTCCACAGTCCCCACACAGCTCCACCCCTCCAACCCCACATAGTCCACACTCCCCAAACCCCAACATAACCTCCTCTACCAAACACTACACAGCCCCCACCCTACCTAATATACAACACAGTCCACACCCCCATCTAAACCCCACACCCTCCCAAACCCCACAACTAAATCCCACACAGCCCCCACCACCCAACCCCACACAGCCCATACCCCCAACTAAACCGCACACAGTCCCCACCCCCACAAACCATAGACAGCCCATCCCCACCTACAACCACACACCCCACATCCCCACTTTCCCAAACCCAACACAGCCCTCTTTCCCAAACCTCATATAGCTCCCACCCTCCAAACCCCACACAGACCCCACCCCTTCAAACCCCACACAGCCTCCACTCCCCAAAACCCCACACAGTCCACAACCCCCAAAATTCCACACAGCCCCCACTCCCCAACCCGATACAGCCCACACACCTCCAAACCCCACACAGACCCCACCTCCCCAAACCACACACAGTCCCCACCCCCCCAAAACTCTACACAGCCCCCATCCCCCCTACCCGATACAGCCCACACACTTCCAAACCCCACACAGATCCTACCTCCCCAAACCCCACACAGTCCCCATCCCCCCAAAATGCCCATAGACCCCACCCCCTAAACCCCACAAAGCCCCCACCCTCACAAACCCCATTCAGACACCTCGCCCAACCCCCACACAGCACACCAAACCCCAGACAGCACCACCCCCCAAACCCCACACAGATCCCCAAATCCCATACGGTCCCCACCCCCACAAATCACACATAGCCCCCAAACCCCACACAGCCCCCACTTTCCCAAGACCCACACAGATCCCCAAATCCCATACAAACCCCACCCCCACAAACCCCACACAGATCCCCGAATCCCATACAGCCCCCCCACCCCCACAAACCCCACACAGCCCTCCAAACCCATACAGCCCTCACCACCCCAAACCCTATACAGCCCCCACCTCCACAAATCGTGCACAGCCCCCAAACCCCACAGAGACCTCACCACCAGCAGCTCAAAAATGACACCGCCCACCACGACCCTCAACCCCACACCACGCACTGTCGGAGGGTCAGCACTGAGGGAGTGCCACACTGTTGGAGGGTCAGTGCTGAGGGAGTGCCACACTGTCGGAGCGTCAGCGCTGAGGGAGTGCCACACCGTCAGACGGTCAGTGCTGAGGGAGTGCCACACTGTCGGAGGGTCAGCGCTGAGGGAGTGCCGCACTGTCAGACGGTCAGTGCTGAGGGAGTGCCACACAGTCGGAGGGTCAGCGCTGAGGGAGCGCCGCACTGTCAGAGGATCAGTGCTGAGGGTGTGCCGCACTGTCAGACGGTCAGTGCTGAGGGAGTGCCACACTGTTGGAGGGTCAGTGCTGAGGGAGTGCCACACTGTCGGAGGGTCAGTGCTGAGGCAGCGCTGCACTGTCGGAGGGTCAGTGCTGACGGAGTGGGCACTGTCAGAGAGTCAGTGCTGAGGGAGCGTTGCACTGTTGGAGGGTCAGTGCTGAGGGAGCACGGCACTGTCGGAGGGTCAGTGCTGAGTGGCTTACATGCCACATATGTACACAGTTAAAGGAAAGTTATCATTGTCCTAGACAGCAGAGGGCTTCTTTCACATTAGGGAGAGAGACGACTGGTGGTGGTTTAACCTGAGGGTCAGCACACCTCAAGCGAGGGGAGAGGTTGTGATCTCATGGTAATCTCAGCTGATGCAGGAATGAACCCATTCTGCTGACGTCACTCTGTAATACAAACCAGCCACCCAAACAACTTCCTGAGCTATCACTGACCCTCCTAAAACATCACTATCTGCCATGGTAGGATTCCAACCCTTGTCCTCAGGAAATTAGCCAGGGGTTCTGCATTCCTAGTTGTGATTCCTAATTCTGCATTCCTAGTTCCTAATTCCACATGACACTGTCCCACAGCCTTCCGAACACACATCTTACACATTTATACATGCAGACACACACAGACACAGGGACAAACACACACATACACAAATGCACCCACACAGACACACATTTTCACACTTAAACACATAGATACACATGTACCTACATATGCCAATGTACAAATCTGTCCTCCTACACACACATATACACACATTTGCACATTCATATATAAACATCCACACAGGTATATGCAAATTAAATATATGCATATACACACATCAGAGAAACACACACATTCACATACAAACACACAGCACACATATGTATACACACATGTACGAGCAGGTACGTGCATAGGCACACACAAAGACACGTGTACACATTACATTAACATACATACACAAACATGTAGTATATATACATAACTCAAATGATATACACTCATACATATATAAACACATGCAAAAACACACCTAACTTGGAAATATATAGCCGTTCCTTCAGTGTCACTGGGTCAGAATCCTGCAATTCCCTCCCTAATGGTATTGCAGGTCTACCTACAGCACATGGACTGCAGCAGCTCAAGAAGGCAGCTCACCATCACCTTCTCAAGGGCAACTAGGGATGGGATATTAATGTTGGCCAGCCAGCAACACCCACATCCCACAATGAATAAATAAAAAAATACACATATATACATGCATATATTAACACAGGTTTTTGTACATACCACATCGATTTACAAATATACACACAGATGCACAAAGCATGCACTGATATGGAGACATATGCATATGCACACAGGGGTACACATCATTATAAAGAGTCACTTAGAGTCATAGAGCTGAACAGTGTGGAAACAGACTCTTTGGTGCAACTCATCCATGCTGACCAGATATCCTACATTAATCTAGTGCCATTTGGCCCATATAGACACTTCCATTCACATGTCTACACACGCATATACAAGCAGATATGTACCCCCACACAGGCTGACACACACACACACAGACACACACACACACACAAGCAGTTATCCTTGTAATAAACAGACTGAGACACGGGTGGCGACACTCTCCTTCTGCGAGAGAGAGAGTCGCTCAGTCAGCTGATGAATTATGCGGCAGATGTCTCTTGCTGTGGCTCTGCCTGGCCATGGAGCAGAGAGGGTGACAGTTCTGACACAGAACTGCTGTTGCCATTGCAGTTAGAGAGAGCGGCGCCTCTTCCTGTGTGTGTGCCCCTCCAGCACCCGGCGCTGTCCAAGGTCCTGAACCCAGCCGTTCGCCGTCTGCTCCCGGGAGCGGGGGAAGCAGGTTCTGTATCTACCCCCGCCCCAGCCTGAGCAGCCCCCAACCCCTCACCCAACCCTGTGAAGGGGGAGCTGGACCACCCAGCACCCCCGGTGGGGGGTGGGTGGGGTGGGGAAGGGGCTGGAGGAGGCAGCCTGAGCCAAGATAACGATGGCCCAAAGGATCGCGAATGGAGCTGAACATGGTGATCAAGTCGGAACTGCTGAGAGGCGGCATTACCTGGTGCTGGTTTAATCGCTGAAGGAGAGAGAGAGGCAGGAAGGGAGTCAGTGAGGAAGGCAGGGAGAGAAGAGACAGAGAGGGGGAAGGAGAGAAAGGAGATAGAGAGGGAGAGAGAAGACGAGATAGAGGAAAGGAAAAAGGGATTGAGGTAGAAGGAAGGAGAAAGAGAGAGAGAGATAGAGGGAGGGAGATAGATAAAGGGAAGGAGAAAGGGAGAGAGATAGAGGGAGGGAGATAGATAAAGGGAAGGAGAAAGGGAGGGAGATAGAGAGAGGGAGATAGAGGGAAGCAGTAAGGGAGAGAGATAGAGAGAGGCTGCCTCCCCATGCAGAGGCAGGGAAGTAGGATGGAGAGAGGAGACAGTAGCCAGGCCAAGGGCAGTGTGTGCTCTCAGGACTGGGAGCTGGATGGGGAACTGCCAGCACAGAAAGCAGCAGGCACTGGGAGCCCAGACTCGGGGCAGAGGGTGGGCTGTAGCCCACACCGAGAGGCAGCTCCCTGCCCACACAAGGCAGTAGCATTCCTGCAGAAAGCTCCGGGCTCGTGTGAGCAGATCCTGGCAGCAGAGCAGGAACTGGCAGCTGGCAGTAACACCTTCATGCACCGTCAGATCAGTGCCATGCTTCAGCCTGGGGTCAACAAGTTTTCCCTTCGCATGTTTGGCAGCCACAAGGCGGTGGAGATCGAGCAGGAGAGGGTCAAGTCTGCTGGATTCTGGATCATTCACCCCTACAGTGACTTCAGGTAAACCTGGGGCAGAGTGGGGGTGCGGGAGGCCACGGCTTGGGAAACAGGGTCAGTGTCGGGCAAACTCGTCCACTCCACATTACAACAGGCAGAGAGGTGTCCATGATACAATTTCAGTGACACAGACAAACTGTGTGTTACAGTGAAACACATATTCTGTGCAATACAGTGTGACACAGACTATGTGATACACCATAAGACCGTCTGTGTGTGATACAGTGTGACACAGACTGTGTGTGACACAGTGAGAGACAGACTGGGTGTGATATAGTGTGACAGACAGACTATGTCTGATACAGTGTGTGAGCCACGGACTCTGTGACACAGTATGAGACTGTGTGTGTTACAGTGAGGCACAGACTATGCGTGAAACAGTGTGACACAGACTGTGTGTGATACAGTGTAGTGTGAGATAGACCGTGTGCATGATACAATGAGACACAGACTGTGTATGATACAGTGTGAAACAGACTGTGTGTTACAGTGAGGCACAGACTGTACAATACGGTGTGACACAGACTGTGTGATACAGTGTGAGAGACAAACTGTGTCTAATACAGTGTGATACAGACTGTGTGTGATACAGTGTGATACATTGTGAGACAGACTGTATGTGTTACAGTGAGGCACAGACTATGCAATACTGTGACACAGACTGTGTGCAATACAGTGAGGCATAGATTGTGTGTGATACAGTGTGACAGACAGAGTGTGTGTGATTCAGTTTGAGACAGACTGTGTGATAAAGTGTGACACAGACTGTGATACAGTGTGAGAGACAAACTGTGTCTAATTCAGTGTAACACAGACTGTGCATGATACAGTGTGAGACAGACTGTGTTACAGTGAGGCACAGACTGTGCAATACAGTGTGACACAGACTAGGTGATACAGTGTGAGAGACAAACTGTATTTAACACAGTGTGATACAGACTGTGAGTGTTATAGTGAGGCACAGACTATGCGATACAGTGTGAGAAAGATTGTGTGTGTGTGCATATGTTCGCAAATGTGAATAATTTAGACAGAATTTGTGACTAGGTAGCTTATTTTGAGATTGGTGTGTTTGTGTGACAGCAAAATATGTGCATGGCTGTGTGAAACTGTGCATCAGTGTATGAGAGAGGCACTGTGTGTTTAGATATGTAAGAGAGTGTGCATTAGTGTTGCTGTGGGTGTGTGAGGAAGAGAGAGACTGTTTTCTTCCTCTGAGATTATTAGCCAGAATGATGACTTGTGTGTGTGACAGCTGTGAGATTGTGCCCCTAAGACTGTGGTCATGAGTCTGTGAGAGACTGTAGTTTTAAGACTAAACATAGATGTTTGTCAAAATGTATGGATGACCTAGGAGCTGTGTGTGTGAGACTGTATGTATGTATGTTTGTGCTTCTGAGACTATATGTGTGTTAGCTTGTGATTGTGTCTGTTACTGTGTGCGTGTGAGAGTTTGTGACTGCATTTGTGTGTGTGCATGCATGATAGCAGTTGTGTGTCTGCGTGCAACTGCGTTTGTATGTGAACGTGCAACTGTATTTATGTGTGTTTGCACACAACTGTATTTGTGTGTGTGTGTGTGCGCGCGCGCGCGTGTTTGCGTACAGCTGTATTTGTGTATGTGTGTGTGTGTCCATGATTGTGTTCATATGTGTTTACGCACAACT